GGCACCGCCTCTGGCACCGCCTCTGGCACCGCCTCTGGCACCGCCTCTGGCACCGCCTCTGGCACCGCCTCTGGCACCGCCTCTGGCACCGCCTCTGGCACCGCCGGGCGCGGCGGCAGCCGCACGTGTCGCGGCGTCCGCCCCGGGCACCTGAATCCGGCCGGGACCCCTAGGGAAGTGCCGAAGCGGCCTGTGCCAAGCGCCCTGCTGAGCGCGGCTGGCGCTGAAGGGTGGGATTTGAGACTAAACGAGCCTGGTCCCTGCACTTGTACAAGAAACCTGCGTCTGGCAGGGGCGAGAGGGCACTTCGCATCCCTAACACTTGAAGCTCCTGAGGGGGGGGTTCTGGGAAAGGGGAGTTTTCTGTCAGGCCCAGGTTAGTCGACGCGGAGCACACGGAAATAGCGTGTGATCTTTGTGTTTCTCACTAGAAAAATAGATTTGTTTTTCCTCCGTGGACCTAACAAAAGTGAAAGATTGTGCTTTGCATACAGATGAAAGGGGAAAGCTGCTCTCGGGTTGATAGGTGCTTGAGCCCCTAAGGAATTCATCCTGTTCATTTATGAGCTCTGGTCTGTGTTCTTGTTCTAGACAGAACTAAAATACCTTCTTGCGTTATCATTCTCATGGTGGGAGTGTTGTTTAATATACGAAACAACACTAGATAATCAGAGCCTAGTCTTTTTTTAGAGTTCACAATTATTCTGTCCTTTTGCAGGGTAAGCGGGAGGCAGTAGAGGGTGCTGTGATTGCACACACAGAAATGAAACTGCCTGAAGAACAAGGAAACAAATACCCAAGAAGCAGGTCATCACAACATGGCCATGGTTTACCAAAATCTATCAGGTTATTAAGGTAACTCCATTATGTTAGAGTCGAAGGGAGAATAGAGATCCAACGCTACTTTTCCCTTACTGTGGATGGTATTGTCCTCCTGATGTTTTTGCACTTGTGTTACTTGCAGTTGAGGAGGAAAGACTTCAGCAAAATAAATTCCATTGTTTCTCATAGCATTAAAAATCTCATAAGAAACTACGGAATGTATGTTAAGTCTTCTGAAAACAGGCCTTCTAAGGGGACACCGTCAGTGCAGTGGTTGGAAGTACTGATACACCAAAGCCTTGCAGAATTGTAGAAAGTGATGGTCCCTGCCCCTACCAGCTTACAGTCAGTTGCCACAACAAGTGAAGATGGGTGGATTCTTGGAGTCATTGCTTACAGGTACTTCCTCTAACCCTGCCTCACTGCAGGAGCAGTCATAACAAACTCACTGCAAGAGGTTATTTTGTCAGGAATCAGAGTAGGGTTGTGTTTTCAAGAGAGCTCTGAACATAGACAATGTAAGAGCGTTGCAGATTTTTACAGGCAACTTGTGAAAGAAGAGCAGAAATGGAAAAACTAAAACAATTGCAACATACTCCCTCTTGGAAACTACCATGGTCACAGACACTGGAAGGCAGAAGTACGTTTCCACTCATGCTTGCCAAAAGAGACGATGGGTGGTCTCATAGCTGAAACACAGGGACTACAACTCTCACCTGAATTCTGACTTGAATTCACCATGAGTTGCCATTAACTGGTCTCCTAACTTCCCTGTGCCACAACTCTTCTTTCATAAAGGTGGGGAAACATATGTAGTTATTATCTAAATCTTTTACATAACAAAAAGCATCAGTGCCTGTGGGATGAGCACCACAGAGGGTTTTTTTCCCTTTCACAGGAAACTCTCACCTCTCTGTTAGGTGCTACTTCATTTGCCAAAGTGTCCCTTCAGGACATCATGGCTGTAGTTGTGCCCACTTTGATGTAACTGGGGTGTCAGTAGCAGTGTAGCTACTGCATCAGAGACTGTACAAGGATGCATGGCATTTACCTATCCAGGTAGATTCCTTGCAGGAACCCATGACACCAAAGCTCTGGTTCTGTTTTATGCTGGAAGAAGGGACAAAGGGGAAACCACTGTGAAGAACTCCAGAGAGTTGCATAAAGTTTACATTTTTCAAATCTGTTGTTTTATCAGCAATTTTTTTGAAAATGTATTTGTCTCACTGCTAATAAAAGAAGTGGCTCCACTGAACTGCTGAATTTCTTTCCACAAGAAAGGAGGATTTTATTTTTTTTTTTTTTGCATGCATGCGTGTGTGTTAGCTTATCTTCCAGATCTTGAAGCTGTTTTTCAAGCCAGAATGTCACAATTTAATTGGAGGAGAAGCCTTAATCACAGCTTGCAAACAAGGTGAAAATGGAACATTTTTAACGATTCCTTTCCAAAAAATAAATGGAACAGGGGAATGCTGACATTGCTTTACTTTTGCCAAACGCTGCCAACACTCCAAGGGAATAAGCTATTCAGCTGGCGAAAAAGTGCTGAACAAACACTGAAGGAGCTAACGGGATACTCCCAACCATGATATACTCACTTTTCACTCTATCTCCTGCCCCAGTCTAATGGCTTTCCCCTCACTCCCTGCCCTCAGGGAAAAAAAGGGGGTAAAAAAGGAAAAAAAAGAACAGAAAAGACAGGTTGGATTAAAACAGTAGCAAGAGGAATTGGTGGATCCTGAGAGTTGGCAGGGGTATTAGTATTTTGTAACCTGATCTGTCATGTGACCAGGGCTAGGCAATAAAAATAAGTCTCCTACCAGCCCTCCTGTTTGCTCGACTTTATTATATGGTGTCAGTGGAGAACTAGTTTCTTTTTTTTTTTTTTTTTGGCAAAAATTTAGCAAATGAAGCCACCTGAATCATTAAATCCTGAAGGAAATCTGGCAGAGAACTGGAGGAGGTTGTTGCTGCGCTTCCAAGTTTTCCTGGAAGCAAGCATGTACTGTAGAGAAAACGAGAGGGTGAAACCTTCTCCTCTTCTAAATGTGGTGGGAGGGGCAGGAAGCAGAAAAACAAAACTATTAGAAGTAAATTAAATTCTTGATCAACCTTAGTGGAGGTTGGCAAAGATCTGTTTGAATTAGCCAGCAAAGATTACTTCTCGTTATGGACTACCACACACGCACATTGAGCTGCCGCACACCACAGTGAGCAGAAATGTAATAACATACTGTAAATTACAGTTTGCTCACCACAGTGCTCAAGATGAGTTAATAACAGATAATGGCCCACAATTCACAAGTGGATCATTCTGGTAGTTCTCTTTGATCTGTAAGTTCAAGCATACCACGTCAAAGTATAGCTATGTGCAGGAAAAAGTCAGCGTTAGAGCAAAACCCCAGTAACAGCCTCCCCCCCTTACAAGTCTATCATTAGCTCTGTAAAAGCAGAGATGCACACCTCACTGCCTTACTGGCCTCACCAGATCTGAGATTAATGGGCAAAGGAAAAGCCTTCCAGAGCCAACGTTTAACAGCAGCTGGTTGGGCAGAAAGGCTGTTAACCCTGGAATAGCTATCAAAACATCCTCTGTGCCAGAGAAATAAAGAAAAGTTTTAACAAGAGGCATGAACAGTTATTCTTTTTTCTAGCATTAGGTGGATTTTCAACAAAGTGATTACTGGGTTACATTTGTAGAGGTGAATGTCAGTCCTGAGACTGAGTCTTAACCTTTTTTATAAGTGGCCCTTGTAAAAAGAAACAAAGGACATACAAAGGGATGATGATCAGAGACCTGTTGAAGAACATAGATACAGAGGCACAGAGCAGTATTGTTTGCCTGATAAGAAAAAGAGAGACATTCTGAATACCTTATAAATTCCAACAGAGAACTAAAGGCATTTTAGAAAGATCTTTCTGAGACCATGATATGCTACCAGAAAGCTGCTGAGCTCCTCATGAGAAGGGCAACTTCCAAAGAGCTCTCCTCAAGAAACAGGAGGTGTTCTATCTCGTGTTAGGAGCAAGTTCATGTACCCTGAGCTCTTTCCCAAATATTTCTGTTCATCTTAGTGAATCTGTCCTATTTTATTTAATATCATGTTATATTTACACAAAATGAGTTTCAAAGATAGGTTAAGTAAACCCTTGAGTTCAACAGGCACTGACTTTCATTGTGTAATAGCAATGTTAATAGTGACTTATATTTTGTGAGGGAGACTAGAAAATAGGTATGGGTAAATTTCTTAAAACTCTAATGCACCATATTACTATTGTAGTGCAAACTGAAGCCTATCTGAGTGAGACAAAAAGATTGTTTGTTGGAAAAGGGCTTCATGGTTTTGAAGTACCATCCATATTTTAGAAAGCTTCCCTGTCAAGGAAGACAAGGGATGTATATTTACCATATTGTTATGTGTCTCACACATGCTCAAAATGGTTTTGTAACAAGCCCCCATCCCACAAAAAAACGGGGGGAAATAGGCCAAAAGAAAAGCAGTCCAGATGTGGAGTTGGTCATCTGTACAAGTGATGGCATCATCTGTGTTCTCTAGAGAAAGCCTGCAATGGCAGGTATGTACTGAATCCATGAATAAAGTTGTAGTGCACAACACACTTCTGGAAACAGTGAAATTGAAGAGCCAATTCACTTAACACCCAGAGCGTAAGAAAGGGCCTAGGGACAAGAAGCAACACGTCACCATATGTGTTTAGTTTTGAAGGACAGCAAAAGACAGTCTCACAGACTCCCAAACCAATGCAAAATACTGCAGGAAAACAGGTAAAAAAAAAAAAAAAAGAGATGCAGTTTGAACATCCACACTGTGTTTTGGAGGTACATTGCTCTCAGTAACTTTCATGTGTGAGTAGAGCAAGTGGAGTGTAAGAACAGCATGTTCTGAAGAAGTGCACCTGTAAGGTAACACAGCTGAGCTGTCCTGTCTTGTCCTTGCTGCTGCCCTCCTCTAACAGCCTCTCTGGTGGCAGCTGCCTGCTGTGACTGCTGCTGGGAAGTGACACTGCACTGCACACACAGACGTGAACTAGAGACTGCATGGCCGAGAGCACGGCACCGTGGTTTTGTGATATGA